ATGGTCCTGACAAAGTGTTGTTATTTTTCGGGTCAATCAGAAATACAATTTGGCTGCCATGGCCGCTATTTTGCTACTAAGTTCTAATAGGCCGATCTCACTTAAAATTGGTCTAGGAATGATCAGCTCATGGTCCTGACAAAGTTAAGTTAACATTATACTATTTTTTACTCAAATTGGTACATATTTCAACAACAAAAATAACTACTGTAGACTCAGGTGACCGTTAAGGCCCATGGGCCTCTTGTTATCAATCATATGATATAAATCATAACAATATATGACTTTCAAAGCTTACTTGACATGGAAGACATTTAAATACTTTGATTTCAATGCTTATATCGGTTATGGAATTTGTAATCGATAATCGGAAAGGATAAACCGATCGATTTTTGATAATAGTCGATCATCAGCCCATCACCAGCTGTAAGCGTATATATATACAATTTGTTGTTATATATGTACCGAAATGACTCGCTTCACTGGTCATTTGTCTGATAAATGTACTACTGTACTAGTCATCAAAACGTCACATATAAATACTTATTGGTCGTGCTACATGAATCTTTTCACAATCCAGTCTTACCAAAAAAATAACCTAAAGAAAATGTTTTGTTCTATGGTATATAGTTATGAGATGTTATGTGAAAATTAAATTAACTAGTAAATGTTGTACAAAATTTACCAAAAGCTTTTACATTTTTAGTATAATATACCTTAATATGTTAGATAAACTTTCTTAAAAACAAAACGTACCTGGATAAGCATTAAGCACTTACTTTGTATTCTGATCTTCGATTTACAGTTGATGATATTAGATTCTCTGACAGGAAAACTTTTTCAAATTCCGTCCATAAAAAGTAGTGATGACAGTTATCCAGCAGAAAGTCCTTGTGGAATACACAGTATAGCCCTAAATCCCTCAGGGACCTTATTCGCCACAGGGGCCGAGAACACAAATGATCTGGCAATTTACCAACTACCAACCTTTGACCCTGTGATGGTGGGAGAGGTAAGACTAAGTCATTGTTGATGTTCTAGATGGTGTGATGCTAATGTTTCTCAAAGATACTTTTAAGACAAGATTTCAGATTCATTATAAGAGTTAAATGAGTGTAAAACTCTAAATATCTTCTCAAAAAAAAATGGTTTTAGTTTTTGGTATGAAGCTAGGTGATGAGACAGGCTCTTAGACTTGTTCAATTGAATGACTTTGACCAACTTTAAGAGTCAGTCACAAGGATGAAATGTGAAAGAGTATCCGATGAGTACACCAGGTTACATTTCACCAAAACCTTGAGATATCTGGTGAGTGATCTGATTCACTGACCTTGCTTTTCATTGGATTTCAGAGAGGGCACACAGATTGGATATTCGATATTTCATGGATAGATGACGAATTTCTGGTGACCGGTAAGTAACTGAAGAACTAAGACGATGCTCTGAACATGAATGTCTTTCTAGATACATTGTTTATTACCAAACCCCTGTATATTCCTTGTTCTTGTTGACTTTTCAAGGTTCTCGAGACAGTCGACTGTGTCTGTGGCGAGTAGACAACAAGGAGGATATAGATCAAACCTCGCGTTTACAAAGTCTACAGGTACCGGAATACGCCATTAAGGGTCCAGAAGCTGTGGAATATTGTGACAAGGCTAACAAAGTCCGTGCTTTATGCTACAACGATAACAGAAAGGCAAGAAATGAATAGTTTGTTTTTAATTTCAAAATTCAAATTTCAAATTTTGCAGTTTTTCAGAGTATTTGTTCAAATTTTAGCACAAGTTCTACTAGTTTGAGTTTCCTCTGGCCCTGTCAATAGAGAAATTTTGACAGATATATGTATGGTGCCCACATCAGAGGAAACTCACAGAAAGGCTAAGGTTCTACCGCTAAGATTACTGGACCCAAAAATTAAGTTTGAAATATCTGAATGAACTTTGATTATTATTCAACATAAATTGTGAAAAATGTAACATATTTGATCCTCATTACAAGTATTGTCATTTAATATTTACAGGAACTAGCTGTTCTCTCCCTAAATGCTTACTTTTATCTCTGGGATGTCGAAACTTTTACTGCTGTAAGTATCTTTAAATCAAAATAATAAATTTTGATGAAAGAAAGGAAAATGGAAAAAATGAGACCTTACAACTAAAATAATAAATATGACATTATTTACTTCTGTATTTTAGTGTAAGCTTTACCTACAGATATATTTGTGGAGTGTGATTTGGTATGTTTAGACAAACATTTCTTGAAAATTGTTAAATGCCTGAAGTAGCATTTCTGTTAAAGAAATATACAAAATTGAATAATCTCCTATTCCGCCTTGCGTATTGGAGAGTTATCTGCTCTTGTTAGCAGGTATTGATTGTTACGTAATTTGTTTGGGAGAGTAACGGCATCAATTTTTGAGAAAACAATGTAATTTTCTCACACAAACCAATGACGTAACAATCAATACCTGCTCACAAGAGAACATAACTCTGCAATACGCCAAGACAGAATAATACAGAAATTTGTATGTACAGTATGCTTTGTTCAGGTTTTAAGAAGGACTTCAAAATTAACAAATATAAATTTCTCGAGTATTGTTGATATTTTTTTTACAGAAAACATATAGACGCCTTTTTCACACCAAGGAGAATGTGTGTATGTGTGTGTCCAAGGAGAGGACGCTGTATGCAGTGGGGTCACAGTCTCATATTAACCTAGTAGACCCACGCTGTCCTAACACCCTCACGACTATAATCTCTCGCTATCGGGGTGGAGGTTAGTACGGTGAAATATACTCTCTCCATGATCACGATTAGGTTGTTGCTATCAGTGAAAATATTTTTTATTACAGAATTGCTATCTTATTCAGTGAACAAACCCATGTTATATGGGTTTTTTTTGTATACATGTAGTAATATAATTATGTAATGAGACTTTTTTGTGATGTCAAATAGTGATGAAAATCTTGATGTCAGTTATGTACAATTATACAGATGATAAAAGATTCTACCTTATGCGTACAAGGCACAAAATAGAAAAGTTTCTCATTACATACACTGATATAGCATCAGAATCTGTGCTTTATGTATCAAAATACTGTGTAACATTTTAAAGCTCTTAAAAATTATTTTAATACCATGTCATTGTTTCTGAACAGGTGTACGATCCGTTAGTTTTCGAGACGATGTGCTAACAATAGGAACTGGTGTGGGTAATATTCTGTTTTTTGACACAAAAGCAGGGAAATACTTGGAGTGTGGGTGTGGACATCCATTTACTATGACTGTTGGAAATGGATTTTTAGTGAGTTATGCGTTATTTAATGTGACAAAGTTTTTTCTATTACTGGCCCGAAAGTCCCTGTTTCCTTTCTGCCTAATAATTTCTTTACATGCTTCCCTCAATATAATGCCAAAACCCTTTATATTGCCAAAACTTCAAATAGTGGCAGTATGACAAGAATTTAATGGAATTAACATACATTGCTTAATATTAATTTGTCCAGAAGATGTTGATACAGAAACTGTAATTGATATACATTTTCATTTGTGTTTAATATTATGAATATTTTTTTTAACTTTTTCATGCAGTCAAGAGATGAAAACTACAGGGAATTTTTCATGGACAATAGTTATCCCAATGCCATCTATACACATCAGTTTGACAGTACAGGGACTCGATTGTTTGCGGCTGGCGGACCTCTACCTGCAGGACTATGGGGAAACTATGCTGGCCTCTGGCATTGATATTCCTCCACATAGGACTAGCAAATAAATTGTGATAGAAACATTCAAAACATATTTACATTAGATATAATATCAAAGGCAATTCGTTTAGAGGATTTTAAATATCTTTTCAACTTTATCAGACATGCTGGATTTAATAGAGTCTGGTGTATGTAGGTATGTGAGATATATATAGGATACTGGAAGATATTTACCAGTAATAGTTCCACTGAATACACTACCTATATATGTATGGCAGAATACCAATATGTATTCACAAATGCAAATCATGAGTGAAGATATTGGTATATTCTGCAGCCATATGAGTGATATTTAATGGGAAATCAGTAAATATTTTGTTACTTTCAACGACAAAACTATTACAGCATGAAAAGTGTGAGAATTAATAGTGTAATATTTGACGTCATATTGTAATGATGTGACGCTTGGCAACAGGGCTGCACATTGTTCTGAATAGTTTACTTGATGTAATTTTATAGTTTTCAGCTATAATGTGAAACTTTCTTGCAAGAATTTTTTTCAATTGTACAGCTGCATATATACTGCGGTTTATATAGCAATGGTGTACCAAAACAACCGTTTGTTTTAGTATTGTTTTATTCGCATCTGAAACAGAAATGAATGCAGTGAATAGAAAGAATCATTCTGATTGGTCAATACTAAAAATGATGTCTTTCCTTGTGAAGATATAACATTCTGTTTATATGATCTGCAGTAAAGTTTTTCGTCAAAATGATAATTTCTGATATTTCTCAGACAAAGCCTCCTCGTGTTTGGCAACTTAAGAATTTATCCCCTAAGGTTAAGATTCCATTATCTCGCCCCAAAGGGGATGAGAGATTCTATTAGTCGCAGTATACAAGAACCCCAAATCATTATTATAATTATTTAAAACAGTTGCATGATGTCACGTCAACAAAGCATTGGACCTAATTGAGTTTGATGTTGGTAAAGTGATAATCAGATTGTCGATGGTTAAATTCTCACTGCTGTCTTCACACCTGGATGGCAAGGTGAAGATCTATGGTTTAATTCTCACTGCTGTCTTCACACCTGGCCAGCAAGGTGAAGATGAACATCTAGGTAAACTTCATTTTTGTAAATCATGCCACAATGGTGGCCACCATTATGGAAATATTATTGTCAGCCTTTCTTTAAAGAATATGTCGCTCAACTTTTGTCAGATAACAATGTTTTATAGCTAGATTTTCAGGACATAAGCTCAAATAATCTGTCTGAGAAACAGATTAGTTCCTTCATATGCTGCCAGTAGTTATGTTTTATAATTAGTATACGATGTCTAAATTTGTGTCTGAATGCTGTTGGGGTTGTTTGTCAGAGAGAGAGAGAGAGAGAGAGAGAGAGAGATTAAAGAAACAAAGTGCATGAATTACCACTGTTTTCCAGTATGTGGACCCCACCTTTAGTGGCTTTAGGACAGTGGTGATTAATACATGTTATTGGGTGGTGTTAGACTGATATCAGAGTATATAAACTGGTCGAGTGAGCTTTGTATCAGGTGAAATAATTGTCATATTCATTTAAACATATTGTTTTAGCGAATAACTGTGTATGTGTTCTCAAAAATTTCTGATTTGTAATTTTTTCTTTTGAAAAATTTCATGTTTGGAATTCCAGGAATGAATTACGAGGTGATCAATATCATTCTTTTGAATATTTGCTTATGTATTGGATAATTTGAACATGCAGGGCTTATTTGTTCAATGCTTATCAAATGGTTGGACCAGTTAGATCCGAGTCTGTTCATGAAATATGGACAGCCCTCAAGTGGCCAGATGTTGCTTTCTGGCAAGCTTTTTAAAAAGATGTTCAAGGCTTAATTAATATTTGCAAGTCTGTCAGGTTGACAAAACTGTCAATCTTGTAAACGGAAATGAGGTCTCAAAATCACTAAGTGTCACCGCAGGTCTAGGTGTTCAGTGTTTCCCATGACAATTACACTTAATATTCTCTAATAGTAAATTCTAGTTAGTATCTCTGATTTTCTATCATTTTCAATGAAACTGCTGGTTAACAAAAGCAGTTTTTAATAGAGATGAGGTTTCAATATGACACTGATCTACGTAGAACTTTGTTGTGTGTGTGTTTGGGGAGCTGGGAGGGGGGGAATCTATGAACAATCAATTTCATTATATATATACATTCTACACATACATAATTAATTTCTATGCCATTGAAAGATGAATTCTTCAAGTGATTAATACATGTGTAATTAACTTTATACAATTTTATGGTATGCTTGCTTCATTTTCATAAAGACGCACACCTGTAAATATATAGAATTTTATTTGTATAACTCCATCATGCAGGAACATATAATCTGAAAGTTTGGTATGCGTGTTTTGTTTTTCTTGTTTTTGCCCAGTTCAGTGCTCCAAATTTGTTTTTAAAAGTATTTGTTGTCTTTCTTTTTAAGGCTTCTTTTAAAAGCTATTCCAGTTTCCCAGCTTGAACATGGAATATAATTAAATATTGGCGTGGGGAGTGAGGCACATTTATATTTTCCCCCTTCCCCATAGTATATATATTCTTGTATCAATGACACCATTGGTATATATTGTAATAGTGTACCTCCCTTCCAATCTAATTAAAATCAGATCCAAATTCCCATTCCTCCACGATACTCTTACATAGTATCGTAGAGGTACGATACTCTTACAAAATATCTTACATAGTATCGTAGAGGTACGATACTCTTACAAAGTATCGTAGAGGTACGATACTCTTACAAAGTATCTTACATAGTATCATGGAGGTACAATACTCTTACATAGTATCGTAGAGGTACGATACTCTTACAAAATATCTTACATAGTATCGTAGAGGTACGATACTCTTACATAGTATCATAGAGGTACGATACTCCTACATAGTATCGTAGAGGTACGATACTCTTACAAAGTATCGTAGAGGTACGATACTCTTACAAAGTATCTTACATAGTATCGTAGAGGTACAATACTCTTACATAGTATTATAGAGGTACAATACTCTCACATAGTATCAGAGAGGTACGATACTATTACATAGTATCTTACATAGTATCGTAGAGGTACAATACTCTTACATAGTATTATAGAGGTACAATACTCCTACATAGTATCGTAGAGGTTCGATACTCTTACATAGTATCTTAGAGGTACGATACTCTTACAAAGTATCGTAGAGGTACGATACTCTTACATAGTATTGTAGAGGAACAGGAATTCGGATCTGATTTTAATTTGATTGCCTCCCTTCCTTCTGCATACTTCTGTAATAGCTAATTGCACATCAGTCATATTCATGATAAACTTAATAATTTCGATTAATTATTTGTTATTTTATTTTTTTAAAAACCCTGAAATTGTAATGAAAGAAAGAATGATATAATATATAGATGGCCAGAACGAGATTCAAACCTGGGACCCTCTGAACCCTTGATGAATTTCTATATTATGATAAAAATATTCTTACTTTCCAGGTATTGTATGACATGAAGGGGCCGATTGGGATATTCTAGTTACCATGGTACATAATGTATATCCACTTATAGACGGTTTGTGCTCTTTTAAGATTAATTACAGTTAAATTGATAAAAGTTCAGTTTGAGTGGTTAGTTAACATATTTTCAAGATATGAAAAGAATTTTCATTGACTAAAATTAATTCTATATTTCTGATGGGTTGTTTTAGGATATGAAATAAACTTTGTGTCATCATCCTTTGATTGCTGATTTGAATAGTTTGGCTGTCTATAGAAATTGTTTGTTGATTATAAATTACATACATGATGCAAGTTTTCACTGTAGCTGTCAGGATTGGATGCTGCAGCATTATTTCATCAATTTCTTCTTCAGACAACTGCTGCCTCAGTTTCCATCTGCTTCCCTTGAAACGGGGAAAGGGTGATCACATGCAGATGTAGATGTGAAGGTGCTTGAAACATGTTGATCTGATAATTATTTACAGAGTTATTGCCCTTTGTGTCCGGACAACGTATCCCTAAGTTCCCGTCCTTAGTACTTACTTAGTACTTGCATCATTTGTTCTTCTACTTCTAACTTCTAAATGGTACTGACCAACTTCAACAATTTGAAGATAAAATGTCAGACGAGGAGTGAAACATGGAAAGAGATTGTTTTTAAAAGATACGAGATGGTCTAATTTGCGTTTGAAAGGTGACGGTAGAGGGATGATTTGAATAATTCTGTTTTTGGGCTCAAAATAATGTCAGGTGAGAGTTTATGCCACTCGGGTATAGTTCGATGGAAAAATGATGCCTTTCTGGTCTGGGTTTTTGAGTGGGGAATTTGATACGAAAACTGGTGGTTTGTTCGGGATTTTCTAAATGTAGGGATTAATCTGTCTGATTTTACGATAGCGACTTTCTGGTTTACAATGTTATGAAGCATGGTCAGACAAGCAACTCTACGTCTATCTGCTAGAGGGCGCAGCTTTAGGTGGTCCAACATTTCCGACACACTGGAGGTACAATGGTTGTACCTGTGCTTATTGAGCACATAGCGCGCTGCCCTTCGCTGGACCATTTCCAACTTGTCAATATTTGTTTGGGTGTGAGGGTCCCATACTGTACAGGCATACTCAAGTGATGGTCGAACTAATGATTTGTATGCCTGTACTTTGGCTGATGTTGAGCCAATTTTAAGATTTCGTCTTAAAAAGCCTAGCGTAGAATTTGCTTTTGGGCAGATAGTATTTATATGTGAATCCCATTTAAGGTCAGATGATAGTGTTACACCCAGATACTTGGCCTGACTAAGATGTTCCAGTATGTGTCCATGTAAAGTATAATTATGGACTATTGGAGTTTTGTTTTTAGTCACCGACAACACATTGCATTTGTTTGGGTGGAAGANGCAAAGTTGCAAATGTTCTGATGAAGACATCAGGGAGATGTGTAAATTTAGGCAATGAAGGACAGGCAGTATCGGAGACGCCTCCAATATCAACTCTTTATTAAATATCCATTATATTCCTATCAGCATTGAATGGAAACTCTCAACACTTCATTAGAAGCATCCCTCATGCTGCTTTAACTGAAGCTCAAATATCAAGGCCATATGGTCACCTCACAAATATTTTCATTCAAGAAGAATCAATGTTCCCTTGATTTGTATTGTGAGGGCACACCAGTAACATTAATTGTTTTGGCGTACGTTTTATTTCTGGTGTGTTTATTAGTACTAATTATCCCATTGATGCATAAATCTTCACTAGTCTTTCTTTTGCCCTACAGCTTCTTTTATTTTTCGGACTTTGAAATAATCGGGTTTGTTTTTTGAATTGAAAGTAATCATGTTTTATTTCCTTATATTTGTTTCCAGTGTTGCACTCACTAATTAACAAAGTACCACATATTTGAAGCTGAGTATCGGACCATGGCTGGTTCATAAATCGCTTCTCTACAATAGTTTGATGTTAATGTTTTGTATTTACATGTTATTGTTATCATTCAATGCTTTATTTACAAAATATTTGTTAATTGTCATTTGGAATGTGATATTCTGAAGTCATTGTAATAGAGAATCCAGACTATTAGTATAGAGAGAACAGCAGTAACAGTTATATAGAACATAGTTAACTAGGGAATCAGCTTATATACACTATACAGTCGTCTTTTTATACTTGTTCATATACTGTAATGTGTGAGAATGTGGAAATATTAATTTTCTCAATTTGTAGAAAACTACATTTTAAATTTTGAAATAAAACCCTGCCATACATATATATTTGCCTGTATTTTTTTTTTTAATCTTGCAAGTGCCACAAAATGTATACTAGGTAGTAGTTTAAATGATGTCGTGGAGTGGAGGTTGACCAGCTTTTGAAACAATATCCTTTGGGACCAATAAGACCCATAGACTGTTAATTATATCGTGATCTCCTGAAGATGACACACTTGAAATTATCATGTGAATATGTTGACATTTAAGACTTAAAGATAGAGAACAACATTTTTGTTGAGAATATTTTCATACATATTGGTGATATGATCCATAATACTGAAGTTGTTTTCATTTCATATGAGATGGAAACCTTAGAGGTCCTACTGCTCCCAAAGGATATTTTTTGAAAAGCTGGTCAACCTCCACTATGGTAAGGTTATGGTAACTCCAGTGGAGAAGTCGTCCGACGGACACACACCACAGAATAGCATAAGCTCACCTTAGTCCTTTGAACCAAGTCGGCTAAATAATAAGTTGAACACAATTGTTATATTTACCATCTGTCAATTTATCATCATTGTTACACATATACTGATCATCTTCATAACATGTATTGAATTTATTGAATAAGCTGGTCAAGGTCACAATGATGATTGAAAAACACGGTCAACATCTACCAGGTATAGCAAGTCGTTCACTCAGAACTGGTCAATGTACAAAGCGATTTGTTAAATATACGAGATGAAAATACTGGGGGGAAAAATCATCAAGAATGTGTCTCCCTATAAATTCACTGGTAACACTTCACTACTTAATTTTGAAGATTTCACTTTAAAAGAAACATCTTTTGTACATTCTAATCTGCAATGCATAAAAAATATCTTTGTTGACAGGAAATGCCACTTATTTTAGCCGATTTTTGTATTCGAAAGCTTATATAGCTACTCGTTAAAATCAGGTAGTTTCATAATTGACGGTAAACATGTCCGTTAGGAGACATATTTTTCTACACCTTTTGACTAACACTAATTCCAAAGGTGGCAGACATATCTTTAACACTGTAAAAGTCTACTAAATGTAACCTGGGAAAAGCTAATATTAAAACCTCAGGAACTGGTTCTTCCAATTAACACAAATCAATGTGTCAGTTTATTTAGACAAACTCAAACACGTTAAAAATCATTTGGCTTCCTCTCTTGACATGTTACAAGAACAAGATGCACCAGACAGGTAAAATGATATCAAGATTATCAATTTTCAAATCTGGACAATATTTGTAAAATAATTATAACAGAAATACAATAATCCACCCAAATTAAAGATTTTTTAAAAATTCTAGTTAAATAGGCTATGCTTGTACATAAGATCACAAAACATCGGCAAACAAATACAAAAATATCGCATAAATTTTCATATGGCCATCTTTTCTGGTACTCAAGCTCTATGGTCGTGTGACTTGAGACATTTATTCTTAACAACAGCTAATCTAAACACAATAAGAAATTTTACTTGATGGAGAAAAAAATTTCCTATGCATATTCATAATAAATTGAATTGTGTAGCTTTATCATGATTTAAACAATTTGTGATATTAATATTCAGATTTTTTTTATTTGCAGAATTGATAATTAACAATGAATGTTCCAGAATGAAAGCAAACGTGGAGAAATCGCAGAATAAAATGCCACGACTACTGTGAAAACAGTCCTTTAATGAGTGACAACATATCAAATTCAATACAATAAGAAATTGTAACTTTCTGTATTGAAATGGCATCAACGACAATTCCATGGCACTTCTTTCGACCTACACACACACAACCAGCCAAATTTAAACATATTTCACAACGACTCCCTGTATATCATGACGACTCCCCAGGATTATATCGACGATGACTCCCCGGTGTATCACGACGACTCCCCGGTATATCACGACGACTCCCCGGTGTATCACAACGACCCCCCGGTATATCGCCGATATCTTATGGTAGATATTGTACCTTAAAGTAGTCACCAAAGAATCATGATTATTTCTTTATCTCATCGAGACATTCGGTGAACCTCCGACAAAAAGATTTGACTAAGAGGACTACAGCTATGCTACAGAGACCAGATATTGATGAACACAAAATATGATTTACAAACAAATTTAACACAACACTTAAATGCATGTGATATACTCACAATGCAGTAAAAGTTTTCCCTCAATATTATCCCCGTTATATGTTCTGCCTATGGTTAGTTAATATGATATATTGTAGAGGTTTAGTCTTATTTCTTAATACATTAACTTCATTATAATTGTTCAATTAACTAAAAGGTTAACAATCTATAATAGGCAGAAAGGAATCAGGACTGAACTGTAAGTGACTGTGTATTAAAAGTTGAAGACAACAAAATATATAAATAAGGTTCCTCACACAGTGGCTGCATTCTATAGACAAGCTGTCTGATTGATATGGAAATTACAAACTTCAGCTAAACAAACAAAAAAGAAATAAGGGAAATTACAATTATGTTAAATAAATGAAAGTTTATGTTTTCTACAGATGAAGAATTACTGTATTGAATATTTCTTAAAACAACGAAAAACAATAACAAGAAATTGCTATTCTGAAGGAATCATGAATTACAAGTCTCTTGGAGATAACCCTACCTGGTAAAATTAAATAAAACCGCTACCAGCACATGTACAATTAATGATATATACTGCATCATGGTCTTGATATATGTGACGGGATCCTGATTTTGTGTTGGAATATCCAATCCACTGAATAATAAACATGTCAGTAGGAAACTACCAACTTACTGTACATAGGTATTGTCACTCACAAAATAGTCTTTATATAGAATTAAAATGGACTTAAAATTCACTCAACGACAATTTCTTAAATACATAGGCAGATGGAGATATGTATGCAAATGAATATAATCTAAAAGTTGTCTTTCTGGAGCTTTAAATCCATTGTACAAGTTCTATTTTCAATGTACCTGATACAACAAAAGTTATGTTTGATTTTTTTTTTTATTATTTGGAAATTATTTCATGTCTTATGGTTTAACATTCAGTGCAATGTATTTGTCTTCTAAAACACCAAATCACGAGTGTAAGTTTGAAATCAAGGAAAAAATACAAGACCTTTGCATGCATTTTTAAAGGATTTTCGAAAGGTAGATATATCTTTCATTTAGTGGTTGCAACAGCTGAACTACCTATGGACAACATTTTGAGGAATGAATCTAAGCAGACTGAAAATTGCACGTTGCTTCGATATAAAACAAAGTCTTCACCAAAGCGCCATATGAACATTTCTCAGGACTACAAGGTTCCATCCTACTTCTGATGATCTGGTCAGCCATTTCAACCAATGAATGAGAGTAACAATCTAAATATACATTGTAATGTACACTACTGTAGTACAGAATGCAGTCCACTGTCCGACGTGCTTTCTAGGTGTTTCAGGGTTCCGCCCGGTCAGTAACTCGGTAATTCATGTTGTGTCCACTTCTGTAAACCACATATAATCACTAACGTCTTTCGTTTACAGTTACTATCATCGTTGCAGTAATCTTTCTACTGCTGCATTCACATCTCCTAACGTAGCTTGTAATGCTGGAATACAGAAAACAATCATTTGTAAACATAACATATATATGGCAATAGGGATATTTTTTGTAGCTCATGTAAATGTATGTGTATTATTGTTAATCATATCTGAAAACCTTTTCATGTTAATTTGAGAGTAATGAATTCTGACAGATGATTAAAAATTACTGCATTCCTGTTTATTATGGCTAAATTATGATGCCAGTTACTAAAAATAAAAAAATAAGAAAGGAAAAAAAAAACTGTTATGTATTTAATCATTTTGCATATAGAAATAATTGTATGCGTTATGCATTGTAAAGTTATTTCGAAATACTTGATTATCTGCATCGGGTTACATTTCTAAGTACATTTACAGAACGTATAACCCAGGCATTGTAATAGGTGTAGTTGCCTTGCATTTTAGCAGGTTTTATACAACAGAGAATGGCAATATAGATTCTACTATTTCTCAGGTCACTGCTATCTATTAAATTTGTTCTCTGAAAAAATGACTCCCTAATCTCCAGTATACTCAACTTTTTAATAGCCCTCAATTAGTCCAGAAAGTGAATTTAGCAGTCATTGCAGACCTTTTGTTCAAAAACTGAGAATATCCCTGGCCAAACCATTAAGAAGATTCTACTCCACCAGTAAGTCGTACACAGCAGGAGAAAACTCACCTCTAATATTAGCATCTCGATCTACAAAACCCATCATGGCTAACTGATCTAGCTCTGATGCGTACCTCTGTTCCGGTGGCTGGTTCTGAAAGTTTAATAACCAGTTGTAATACTGCCATACCAACATGTAAAACACAATTATAGCTAAACAGTATTTAGTTATTTCTAAAGACTATTTCACTTCTCTATGTTAAAACAAGGCAATCCAGTCCCCACCGGTAATGATTTCTTTATTTAACGAGCTGTACATGTACGCCTCTCAACATCCACCTACTACAAAGGAAGCATCCTGATACAGAATAGGGCAAATTTTCACCAATGATTGCCACCTGAGGTCAAAATGACAATCACAATGACTTTATTTTCATATGAAATTCAACCATACCTAATTTGGTTACTCATGGAAAAATAGTACTTAATAGAAAAAAATTCAATGACTGAAATTAGAGGCCAAAGCACATATCACAAAGATCTTTTTTGTGTAAACTGCACCCCACCATCATAACATAAATACCTACGTACCAAATTTGGTTAATCATGGTGAAATAGCACAGGAGCTATTTTTTTCAAAGGTTTAGGTCAAAGGTCAAAGCAGTGTCACAGTGACCTGCTTCTCATACTCTGCATACCAGGTCTGGTTACTCCAGATAAAATACAGAGAATGGAAGGACCGACAAAGCGCAAACCTATTTTACCCCCCAGAGACGGTGGTGCACTAATAATCTTTAACATCTCAACAGGGCAGAATGTTTGTCGAAGCTAAACTATTATCAAACACTTAGGAATTGAAATCATTTCAATTTGAACCATTTCCTTGTCAATCAATATTTGTATTAATGGGGAATTTAAAAGGCTAAAAAATTAGCGTAGTTATAATACATGGTGCAACCGTTGATTTTGTGACCAACCAGAAGTACTAGGTTTGTGACTTACAATATTGCCCTGTGACATCATTTGCATCATGTGTGACATCAGATTGGTGAGTTGTTCTTGGCTGGCACCGGGAGTGACCCCTGTTGCAGGGGTCATGCCCCCTGCTGTGGCGGTTGTGCCCCCCGCTGTGGTAGTAGTTGATGTAGTGTCAGCTGAGGGTGTGGTAGATGAAGTGGTGGTGGGGGAGTTAGCCGAGCCAGGTGTCGTGGGTGTCGAGGTAGTGGGCACACCTTGGGCCATTGCAGGATTTAATCTGAAATACACCAAGTTAACATTGAATTAAATTCATGTAAAACAGGTTATACAATTACACCAAAGTCTCACCTCATATCAATAAACATTTCCCTGCTAAAATGTATGAAATATCCTCAACCATAACAGTGAATCATCCTCAACCATAACAGTGAATCATCCTTAACCATAACAGTGAATCATCCTCAACCATAACAGGGAATCATCCTCAACCATAACAGGGAATCATCCTCAACCATAACAGGGAATCATCCTCAACCATAACAGGGAATCATCCTCAACCATAACAGGGAATCATCCTCAACCATAACAGGGAATCATCCTCAACCATAACAGGGAATCATCCTCAACCATAACAGGGAATCATCCTCAACCATAACAGGGAATCATCCTCAACCATAACAGGGAATCATCCTCAACCATAACAGGGAATCATCCTCAACCATAACAGGGAATCATCCTCAACCATAACAGGGAATCATCCTCAACCATAACAGGGAATCATCCTCAACCATAACAGGGAATCATCCTCAACCATAACAGGGAATCATCCTCAACCATAACAGGGAATCATCCTCAACCATAACAGGGAATCATCCTCAACCATAACAGGGAATCATCCTCAACCATAACAGGGAATCATCCTCAACCATAACAGGGAATCATCCTCAACCATAACAGGGAATCATCCTCAACCATAACAGGGAATCATCCTCAACCATAACAGGGAATCATCCTCAACCATAACAGGGAATCATCCTCAACCATAACAGGGAATCATCCTCAACCATAACAGGGAATCATCCTCAACCATAACAGGGAATCATCCTCAACCATAACAGGGAATCATCCTCAACCATAACAGTGAATCATCCTCAACCATAACAGTGAATCATATCAATAAAAGGAGATAATGAACTACAGCATTGCTGTCAAATGAGCTTTTATAAATCAAAACCGGAATAAATGTTGGGACTTAAAAACAGCAGATAGAATGTCAACTAGACTAGAACAAGAGTTCCGCAAAGCGGTACATGATACGCCTGTCAGATGTCGAATGAGCAGTGCCAATAGTGCATGAAGTTATTGCGCAGAAATTGTGTTCTGTCAATTCTACAAAAGTCTGTAAATTATGGCTGAAGTTTGAAATGAATCCATTCAAAATTTCTCAAGGTATTGAGCAGATAGTGTTACGTCAATTCCATAAAGGGCCATAACTCCCTTAATAACAGGCGGATAATGGTTATCGAACTAGTGCAAGCTTTCATAAAAATGGACCTTCCTATGAAGTTTGAAATGAATCTATTCAAAATTACTGAAGTTATTGAGCGGAAACTGTTTCTGCAATTCTACAAAGGGCCATAACTCGGTAAATAACAGGGGAACAATTTTGGTTATCGAACTTGTCCGAGCTTTCATAGCAATGAACCATCCTATGAAGTTGGAAATTAATCCATTCAAAACTACTGAAGCTATTGAGTGGAAACTGTTTCAGCAATTGACCTTTGCATAAATTTCAATCAAAGTCTACTAGTAAGTTGCTGAAAAGGGTTAGATATAGGACAGATATGGATAATACTAAACCCCCTCCCTTTCCTAAAATGGCGTTAGTATCTGTTCTTGATTATAGAAAATGTGGAATTTAAGAATGTTATCTTGAACAACATTATAAGATTTAAGACGCTCTGCAATACTAGGACCTGGTGCCTTAAGTTTGTTTATTCTGATGTTTATTTTAGTCTTAACCTACATCTGCTCTGTAAAGTCAATACTTTATGCAATTGAATTGAAAAGTAATGTTTAATACTGCAACATTAATTTTGGTTGGATTGGAATTTTTGTGAACATTAACCATATTCTCATACACACACAATGTTTTGCATTTTGTAAACATTACATCTGGCAAAGGCAACTTTAGCAAGGAAATTATTATTTATTTCAATGCTGAGTTCTGGCAATCTGGATTGCTGTTGTGTCTGTACACTTACTGAGGGAAGAGGCCTGGAGCCTCTGACTGTAGCTGTTGAAGACCAGTCTGTACTTGCATCATGGCCTCCAACGCCCGCGGATTTGTCATCACTCTCTGGATATCTGGATTTTGCATCTGAATTGGAAAACAACATAGACTACTTGCTATAATGTCTTAAAGATTTAATAAAAGTAACCATAGTTTTGTTCGTCTCTTTCTAAAATGGTATTCCAACCATTTTTTGACAATGTGTATGACTTCATATTTTTCAGACCTCATTTTAAGAAAGAAAAAAAATTGAAGTTAATTGAATATTGAATTAGTTTAAGATTAAATATTAAATATCAATAGGAGCAATGGGCATGACTTCTTTTAAATTGGGGACAATTTTGATTTTTGAAAATATCAAATTATTTACTTCATTCTTTTCTTTCTTCATTCTTTTCTACATAAGAAGCTTTAGATCACATTACCAATGAAACAAATGCTGACAAGTGTTCGTAATGTACAGACCTGTTGCATCATAGCGGGCATGTGTTGCCTCATCTGTTCCTGGAGCTGAGGATTGCCAGCCAACATGGGGTGAGCACTCAGCATCTGATAGTGATAAACACAACTTTGATTTCTTGATCAAACATTAAATACATGTTTTTAATTAACTTTATTTAGGCAAACAAAGAAAACAATTAATAGCTTAATATTTCTATGAAAATTCCTTCAAATGCACTATGTTCTCTTTGTAGATATTCTGGTCAATCATCTGATGAAATTTTCACTGACCTCCATAAACGTCTAACTTGTTCAATTCAGTATGTAGACTTTCTCTTTAGATAGGCGAAAAAACCCTCTGCCGAGTGACATGTGAAATTTACAATTTCGTCACATCGTTGTACAGATAAACAATTCAAATCCCTCACTCGGTCATAACTTGACAAAGGGACCAGTCGGTCTTGAAATGTTGCGACACGTTACATACGTAGATTGCTAGTACATAAAGTAAAACTGTGATATCACATATTCGAAACTGATGAATTTAATTGAAAACATCCAACCTGTATGGTATAGTAATGACACTTACCTGTTGGGCCATATCAGGGTTGGCGGCCATACTCTCCATCATTGACTGCATGTATGGTGCCTGTAGCATGTTCTCTACTAACTGTGGGTTCTGTGTCATCTGCTGCATCAAACTCTGCATCCCCGGCGTCTCAAACATACCTGTATCAAATCATAGTTTTTCTTGTCATATTACTGACCCCTAGAGAAATATCTCATAATCTATCCCAGGCGTCTCAAACATACCTGTATCAAACATACCTGTATCAAATCATAGAGTTCATGTCATATTACTGACCCCTAGAGGAATATCTCATAATCTATCCCAGGCATCTCAAACATGCCTGTATCAAACATACCTGTATCAAATCGTAGTTTTCATGTCCTATTACTGACCCCTAGGATAATCTATCCCCGGCGTCTCAAACATTCCTGTATCAAACATACCTGTATCAAATCGTAGTTTTCATGTCCTATTACTGACCCCTAGAGAAATATCTCATAATCTATCCTCGGCGTCTCAAACATACCTGTATCAAACATTCCTGTAGCAAATCATAGTGTTCATGTCATATTACTGACCACTAGAGGAATATCTCATAATCTATCCCCGGCATCGCAAACATACCTGTATCAAACATACCTGTATCAAATAATAGTGTTCATGTCATATTACTGACCTCTAGAGAAATATCTCATAATCTATCCCCGGCATCTCAAACATACCTGTATTAAATCATAGTGTTCATGTCATATAACTGTCCCCTAGAGGAATATCTCATAAGCTATCCCCGGCATCTCAAACATACCTGTATTAAATCATAGTGTTCATGTCATATAACTGACCCCTAGAGGAATATCTCATAATCTATCCCAGGCATCTCAAACATACCTGTATCAAACATACCTGTATCAAATCATAGTTTTCATGTCCTATTACTGACCCCTAGAGAAATATCTCATAATTTGATTGGTCGATAGGTATTACACATGAGTCTACTGAGCTATGAGGAGTCCCCCTCCACAACAGGGAGACGTATGTATACGTCCCCCTCCACAACAGGGAGACGTATCATGCCTTAGAATTGTTTCAGGTAATGATACTAAGAAATCAAGGTGTTGGCTATCATCCATCAGGGATGTTAGAGTCCTGAACATTATTTTCAAAAGACTGATGAATCTCACTGCCATAGTGGGTTCTCCAAACATGTGAGTCCAACAGGATGAGTCCAGAACTCAAATATCAAGTGTCCAAAAAACAATGCTTTCACTCACTTACTTTCCTTGGTATGGTTTGATATTGACCTCTTGAGATATATGGCCATAATACTTACCCCTAGAAGGTGTTGTTGTGTTGGATGTGCCCGTCGTTCCAGAGGTGGTGGTTGCCCCGGGTGACTGAGGCGCCCAGGGGTTGGGCAAAGGATCTGTGTTTTCTCTGCCTTGTTGACCATCATCACCAGTGTTGGCTGTCAAATTACGCAACAAAATTTTATCAATTTTGCCAAAAAAAAATGAAAAACTATTCATGCAAAATACTAAAATAACATTAGGAAATCCTGTCAAATTTTAAACTATATTTTTACTATGCATAAATCTAATTAGGAAATCAAATATTTGTTTTTTTAACTCCATGGATAGCTTAGTCACTGGTAAAAAGTCAGTTTTTTCAAAAAGTACAGCAAATATTCCACGACAGCTATTTTTGATAACAAATACATGGGGTAGAAAGATCGAGTGACAAATTTTTTGAACTCCCATCACCTGCAGTAATTTTTTTCACACGGACACACTACAAATGTTAACAATAATTTTAGATTTCATCACCCACACGCTAACCTAACAATTGTAGGTACCTACCTACCACCCAATCCCATACAGTCAGAGCTGTAGCAGCTAGTACAAATTTATTGTCTGTAACAGTTGTTATTACATTATTGTGTATTTACAGTTTATTAAGATAACAACTTCCTTATAAATGTCTGCCTACCTCCTGATTCTCCAGGGACGAGGGAGGCAAAGGGATTCCTGCTCCCAAAACCTTCCTGTGCTGCGTTCATCATCGGTTCCTGAATGTCATGGTACATTCTCTGTAGTGCGTTAAAACCACCGGGAATACTCTGCAAAGAACATCATTTACTTTGTAGTGCATTTAACCCCTCTCACCCCTATGCAACTTTAGAACACTCTGCCAGGCTCTGATATGGATTAGTCCATTACGGTCTACAGCATTGAAAGGGTTAAACTCCGAAGAATATTATGTGGAAAAAATATCGACTTTTATACCCTGCTGTCAAAACAGAAACTGGGAATAAATAACTACCAGTACTAATGGTTGATAATATACCATTCTGTAATGTTGTCCATCAGAAACAAATTTTAGATTCCTATTATTTAGTTACATTGTAATACTGGATAGTAAACTCACCTCCAAATTACTCATAGCACGGTCTTGTGATCTCATTAACTCCTGGAGCATGGCAGGGTTCCGAGCTAGCTCCATTGTCTGTAATACAGAACAGGAAACATATATAGACAGGAGAACATGGGGACAGGAGAACATGGGGACAGGAGAACATGGGGACTGGAGAACATGGGGACTGGAGAACATGGGGACAGGAGAACATGGGGACTGGAGAACATGGGGACTGGAGAACATGGGGACTGGAGAACATGGGGACTGAAGAACATGGGGACTGGAGAACATGGGGACAGGAGAACATGGGGACTGGAGAAAGGGTAAAAATACCAGGAACTTTCTGTGGATACTTGTTTTAATAAAGTATTACACAATCACTTCTACCAATATAGCAATTAGTGATGGGCAATGTTTTTAAAATCATAATCGATAATCTGTTTGTAATGGGAAGTAGTAAACAGAGCAATGATTGATTGTATAATCGATTTATAATTTTTTGGGACTGAACACCCAAACAAAGTGAGAACACTACTGTTACATCAATAGACAGAGCTGTTCACTTTACATTAGGTTTCGTTCTTTTACAATAATGGATATCAAGCAACTTGTATGTATTTTTAACAATCATAATGTAAAAATCATCAAAATATATGACTTTTAAAGCAGACTTTACATGAAAGACATTTAAATACTTTGATTTCAATAAAGAACCGATGATATCGATTAGGGAATTGGTAATCAATAATCAGAATCGGAAAGGGCAAACGGATTAATTTTCGATTATAATCGATCATCAGCCCATCACTAATGGCAATGTTTTAAATGGTTATATAACATTTGATTTATTGGCTGGAAACATTTGTCAGACACCAGACAACATGCTGATTTTGTTGATAACTTTTGTGCGTTTATCTAACACAGCATATATATTCAGATGTTTCAAAATTTTGAATTCAGATCATTGTAAGTTCTAATCAACGCATCAAGTAATAGACATTTATCCAATAAAGCTGTGAGGATAAGAATCTTTGCTCACCTGTCGCATCAAATCAGGGTTGTTCAACATGTGTGTAATCTCAGGGTTTCTCTGAAATAGGAATTGAAAAAGGAATTTGGACAATTGTGATGCTATTGCGCAATCAGTGAATACGCGATTATGATAGTGTTTTATTGTTGTATACATTAGCATCAGCTTGTTATTACTAAACACACTTAAAATGAATTTAGATATACAATGTATTACTTGTTTATTTCGGAAAAGCTGCTTTTAATGTTGTTTTATGAATTCTGCTAATGACATAGCTGATGTTCTTGATGATCGTAAAGTCAATAAAACAAAAATCTTTTTTTAACTATATATAGCTATTATCATGTATTATTCAGATTCAGATAATACATGTTTAGTGTATGGAATTCTAAACAGGCTGTCGGCACCAACCTCCATGAGCTCCCTCATCTGTGGGTTGGTTGTGATCATTTGTCTCATCACATCGGGGTTCGACATCAGTTGCTGGACAAATGGATTGTCCATCATGTTACGTAGCATTTCAGGGTTACTCATCATCTGAAATCATGTCATGGAAATACAGAAAATTTAAAAAACAACCAAAAAATAATATAAACTCATTCTTGAATGAATAAAATAATAGAAATAATTTCTTATATAATCTTTATTTATTTTACACTCTTGTTGGCGCGGTTGTTAGCGCGTTGGGGGTCTTATTGTGGGAGGAAACTGGAGTACCCGGAGAAAACCCACGTGGTCGGGCAGGTGACCCCAACCTTTTCACGTCCGATCGGGGAATCGAACCCCGGCCGCCTTGGTGAAAGGCAAGTGCGCTATCCACTGCACCACCCGACCACCCAATTGTAATCATTTCTTCCTGTTAGTGACCTTAAGCATGAGTTCTATAAATAGGAGTAAACAAGATTCTAATTTATATTTATATGTGTCAGTTACTATTGATAAAGATATCGGGAATCTTTTTCAAGTATTACTCATTTAATTTTCATAAAAGCATGACTTCATAAATGATGAATTTATGATAAACCATGAGAAGTTGTGAGACTGTATTATGACTTGTCAGTACAGTGAGCTCACCTCTCTTTGTATCCTCTGCTGCATCTCCATGAAGTTGGCCGAGCCCATCCCCAGATTGCCGAGGCCAGCCAGGCCTCCCAGACCACCTACTCCAAACGGGGTCTCCCCCACATTGGGCTGACCTACAGGAGGCTACAAGAAACATTTAAATACAATTCAACAACTATCTTACAATACCATCGACCAGCAGCATATAAAAACAGAACTTTATTCTTCTAATACTTCTTATCAACCAGTACATACTATTTCAAACAAGAGTCCAAGTGTGTCTTCGGTTTAACTTTCTAGTGTCCATTCTCTATAGAAACTTGATCATCAGTGTCCATTCTCTATAGAAACTTGATCATCAGTAAGTTTCTCTAAGCATTGACAATTCTTAAGCCCTCAAAAGGCCAGTCTAAGACACACAACCTCCTAGTGTAAGCACACTAAATACTAGGTCATACAGGTGTGAGGTATTTCCTGTGAACTCTGTACTATAATAAGAATCACTATGGATATGAATTGTTGCTCACAGTAAACGAATGCTCTGAGATATCAACTTACCTGCACACCGACTGCAGGAGAAGGTGCTGATGGACTGGCAGCCCCACTCACTTCCGCAGCCTGTTGCTGGGACTGAACGGGAAATTAAACAAGACATTAGAGGGATACAAATCATTTTGCATACATAAACTGATCAGAATACAGCATTCTCAAAACCTCATTCAAATCTTATGAGGTAACATGTATGTCCAGTCACTCCTTTGGAAGATTAAGCTGCAAGAAATATGAAAATATTTCTTTTTTAAAAGAACTACATTAATGTTGACGCTAACGAAGAACCCTGAAATATATACGTTGTATACTCATACACATTATTTAATTTACTGTCATATCTACTAATTGTCTGTTCTTTAATTCTAAAGAGGTTGCTACAGCAATGGTTTCACATCCCTTACATTTGTATAAAATTTCAGCAAAATCAACTGAGAAATGACATTTCTAGAGCAACGACTAGGTTTTTTCAAAAACGAGTAAACGTAAGTGACCTTGACTTTGACTACATGCAAACGGTACTATGAAAAGTGAACTGAACCTGTGATCAAATATACAGACATAGTACATGATACCAATTATAGGAAGTCTCATGAAAATCTGTTTAGATTTATATGAAGTTACTAGAGAGATGAAATTAATGAGATAATACGACTTAACTTTAGTGGAGAAAACTTTTACCATATTAAACAATGTATACAAGACAAATCATACAAAAACTGTTTTTTGGATCTGATGGTATGTACATATATTTGCCTTTTTGTGTATATACATAAAACTGTATTCTGGTACGTAAGAAATGTGAAATCAATCATGCTTATCAGCTGGTCTGATCATTAGTAAAGTCTTAATCTGATTAGAGGAACAGTTTCTACTTCCTTGTTGGTAGTGTAAGCACTGCATCACATCAAGACATGACTCTCACATTCTCAGTGACGGTACACAAGTGCACATGCTACTTACCCCTCCAGTTGGTACGTGAGACTTACAAGTTACAAAGTATGAGTACTGGTACAAACTCAATGATGAAGAGTGTACTTCGGTTTTTGTTGAGTAGGTTTTACTTATAACTTCGCAGTATTACCCTGGGACGTGCCCTATAGTAAGCAATGTTCAGGGGAATATACTGCCTACTGGCAAGCCAGCACCTCCAACTACGCAATATAACCCTGGGA